AACGCAATGGCAACCCGCTCAGAAATAGTTTTTTCTCGCGATTCTATCGCGATGATGGCAAAGGAGCATTAAAGGTCATAGTACATTGTGCGAGGGTTTTTATTGGGTAGTTTACGAGCTCAAAATTAAGATCCACAGTCGGGACAAGCCAAATTGTGAGTAAGGGTAAGGTATTCGGAACGAATAAGGAAGGCACCATTAAACCCGTGCGATCTCCTTTGGCCATCCTGACCGTGACATATCAGAAACACATCTGAAGGCTGAGTTCTTGGCAGCGAACTATCTGAAGTCAAGTGCGTCAAACTCTTGAATTCTAACGATTTTCCCCAAAAAAATGCCTGTTGACTGTCTCCCTGGATGGGTGAATATCATATGACGACCGTTTATTTCCAATGAATAAATGCAAGGTTACAGTGAAACCTGTTTTACAAGGCACGCCATGGAGAAGGGCATGTGTAAGTACTTATTTTGTCTTTCTTTACATCCCGCTCGGAAATCTCTTGAAGTTTACTCCTTTTTTCCTGTGATGACTCAGATGCAAGGAAGATGTGGAATGCGTCTCTCGCTCGGTGAACTCGAAATTCGCGAATATGTTTCTCCCCAAAGCAGCTGAAAATCGTGCTGTTTCTCCCCAACAGCAGCTAAAAATCGTGCTACTATGGGAAACGGTGTGGCCTCCGCGTAATAGTTATTGGTATTTTCCGACTCCCGATGCACTTCCGAACTTGTGAAACTCAACAAAAGAATAAAAAATGAACAGATCATTTTTGGTGTTCTCTGGCCAAAGCAGGCAGATTACGGTGGCTTGCCCTTCAATTGAGACTGACTCCTCGAAAACGATTTACCATTTTCGAAAGCGCAGCAAACCGCAGATCATCATCTCGTTCTTACTATGTATGAAGAACTCAGCAGTTAAAATATAATCCGAACGGTAGTAGCCTGTAACCCAGTCATTCAATGGATGTATGAACCTTGCAGTGATGTGATCTTATACCTTCTCTTTGATTACTTTGACATTGTGTTTGAGGAATCTGCAAGCATCTCAAAGCTAATAGGCCACTCACCAAATACCTGAAGCCACTGAATATAGAATGGCATGAAGCAGACTAAGTTCTTAACTCGTAGATGGTAGGTTGCCGTTTTTCCCTGTCTAACCCCAATAAGTCACTGCTTCTTTCACCTACTTCAGAAAAACATGAGTGGTCGGATATCAATCAGCAAGGAACGCTTTTGGAGTAGTTGTTGTCTTTAAAGTAGTTGCTAGCTGTTTTGAATAGAGCTTCATCATCTATGAGCTTGTTTCACTCTTAACAGTTGCCTTAAGTCAGCTATGGTGCAGGTCACTGCTTCCCTTCGTCCATCAGACGTGCTCATTTCTATATGCCTGTGCAGGGTTGGACAGATAGTGTTCAAAGAATAGGGTTGAGCCTGCCTGCCAGCTTAAATCGTATACACTAAGATCGCGCGGTCAACCCATGAACCTAAGCATGAAGCTATTGGCATGGAATTAGCTGCAATGATAATGCCTGGGTATGGTTAATGCTATCGCCAACGGCACTGGAAGGGAACGTAAGCATCGACAAGTTTTGTCAAAAACTCTAAAACTAACTTCAAAAATCTCCCTAAGAATGGATTTCGCGCACTGATGAAATGAGTTCCTTCTGAAGCAGGGAAAATTTTAGTATGAGTGACATTAGCATCCCCTAGGACGCCTGATTCCCTGCCGAAGAAGCAGAAAGGAACATTACCACTGTTGTCTGTCATAACGAATGATCCTTTGTCAAGTGTTTTCTGCGCAAAAAAAGGCAGACGTCTGAAAGGGAAAAGCGCCTGTTATTCGGAACTTGAGCGAGATGTGCGTTTGTAGAACTTAAAAACTTTCCAACCGTTTGTACATATCTTTCTGAAAGAAAACCACAATAGAACAAATTTGTTATCAAATCGTTTGAAGGCTGATTTGAAAGCACTCCTAATTTATTACTCTCTGATTTTTTTCTGTAATGAAAAAAAACGAAAGAATAAAAACGAATTAGGACGAAATTCAAGTCTAATATCAAAAGACAACCCAGGCGCACATCGATTTGCCCACGCTCTCTTCGTGCCAATCATTTCAAATCGACTTTTTGGAATCGTGTTACCTCATGCTTACAGTATGCCCTTTTCCGGAGTTCTTCATATGCCCCTCTTAAACTGTTGGTCAAAGTCACAAGTTCATATTTTCGGTGAGCGCTGATTCACAATATCAAATTTTTTTTTNTTTTTTTTTGTAGAAAAAGAGAAAGATGTAAAATGACTAAATTGATTGTTCTTAGAGTTCACCATCACTTGGTTCCCCATTCACTAAACAATGATGTTTCATTACTTTTCGAAGGCAAAACCAGAATCCTTCGTATGCAAAACTGGTCACTGATTGCCCTTATGGTCACGTCGTAAACGACCCATATGAAGAGCGCACACTGACGTCATCTGACTCAACTAAACAGAACTATATTCAAAGGATGTGCCCTTTTTTCGGTCATGTTGTCATGCGACAGAGGACAGCTGCTTCTTGGTGCGAGCATGACCAGGGGCTGAGATAGAAAGATAAGTATCAAGGAACGGGTGGATTGAAAAGTTATCCGTCACATCATTTGCAGCGCTGATTATCTCATTTAAAAAGCTTCAAAGAACTGGCCAAGGAGAGTACACAGTTACAGAAGAAGCTACACAAGAAAAGTACCCATAAGAGCTTGAACTGGTAACGTAAGTGTTAAAAGAGGGTAGAAGCAGAGTGGCTTAGATTATTGATCGGTTTTTTTGCTGTAATGTAGGATTGGTGAACGTGTCAGTAAGAATCGGCACAAAGTTTCAGGTATTCACTTCACACCTCGATTCACTTGCCTGTGAGAGGACTTCTTTGAGATTGCTGGCCATTGACACCTCTGTCGGGCTAGACTTAATTGAACTAATGTCGACTCTATCAATAAGAAAATGTGAAGAAAATTCAAAAAAAAATGAAATCCGAAAAAGAAAGAAAAAAATGAAAAAATGAAAAAGAAAAAATGAAATTCAAATCAAAATGAACCGAAAAAATGCACTGTATGAACATATACATATACATATATACATATATATATATATATATATATATATATATATATATATATAATAAAATATGCAGCACAGTAATTTGTGAAAATCAAAGAATGAAGAAAAAAAATGTGGTACTGTGAAAATTACCCACTCTCCAAACGCGCCTGCGGACCAGCTAATTAACAAAATATGACCTCTTCTAGACTACATTTTAACAATATTGTACGTACAGGAGCGGCGTTCGAATTTTTATGACAAGCAAACGTAGTTTTAGAGCATTGCTGTGATTACTAATTTTGCTTTTTCTCATTTCGACATGCTATTTTGAAATGGGCAGTTGCAGTAACAGTAATAATAATAGTAATAGTAATAGTAATAATAATAATAATAATAATAGTAATAATAATAATAATAATAAAGTTTCCAGTTCGTGAAACCGTATTAGTTTACCTGTGTCCGGAATAGAGCTCAACGGTCAACTAATAAAGCATGATCACCTTAATTTAGTGAGGCGAACGAGTGTAGGTACAAGAGGACTAGGTTTGGAACTGAATTTCTTCTTCCATCTCAGTAGTTGAGCAACACAACTGATAACGGTGGTAGGATGCGTTCAGTGAGCACTGACCAAAATCATTGATAAAGTGTCAATACCTTTCTAGTGTTGAAGTTAAACTACTGCTGACATCTGTCTATAAATCAATCATCCCACAATGACTCACAATCCCTTGAACCTTTGTTCGATCTAATAAATCACATGATAGACTCTGAGAAAAAAAGCTACTTCGTTAAATTTCTTCCCCGGCTTAGAGATTTTCGAATTGAAAAAGAAAGAAAAACGAAAAGCAAAAGCTCAAAATTTAGTCTTGAGCTGTAACGCTGAGCTATATATCAATTAAAAATTGTTTGCTTGCAACGAAACTGCGGATATAGAGGCAGCGGATGCTTGGTTTTCCTAGATCTGTTGAAGTATGGGGGTAACACCATTTCGCTAGAAGCAAGGCATCTGAAGTGGCAGTACTGCAGTTATAGTGGAAAGTCAATTTTTTCAGCCTTGTGATTTGTGATACCGTTATGACGACCTTTGTCAGGGGGTCTAGTACACAGAATGAGAACCTATGATGACCTCTCAATTTAGCAAAACATGAAAAGGTTACTGCTGTTGTTCATTAGCGTGTCCTACTGTACAGCGTTTAATGTCGCTCAACGTGAACCGCTGAGACGAAGACAAAAGGGCAGATCAGTTGTGTCACCCAAAGTGCAGAGAGTGCCAAAAAAGGGCGGCTAGCACACAAGTTCAGCGAACGGGGCGCCTCTGATTTGTATAAATGGACACACCAGCGAACCTTTGCAGAGCCTCTTTCATCTTAACATTGTAAACAGTTTCGAGTTAATGATATCGCTTTCACTTTGTCTTTTCTTCATTCTCAGTTGATGTCTTCCACCCTCTATGATCACTACCACATATATTATATATGGTTACTTATATGGTTACATAGTTTTTAGGATATTTGACGTGCAGTTTCCACTGATCTTGCCATATTTTGGATTTCTATTTCGTTGCTTTTCATTGTCTCTAAACTGACGGCCCACAGCCCAATCTTGGGAGCCTTTTTTTAAATCCCCGTTGTGGTCATATGCCTTCCCAAATAGTACTCAGAGAATGGGAAGAACCCACTCCCTTCACTCATGTTCCTACAGTACGAAAATTCGATCTCTCGATTTTCACACTGGGGGTGCACTGAAGACTATGATTCGATAATGTATGCCCTAATTTCTTGCCATGGCTCTAGCTTTAGCAATTATTTGCTACTATGGTTTTTGCTTTGGCTAAATTCCAGCTTGTTTTCTACAGTGGTTTCCATTCCGCAACACTTTTCCTTTTTGTAACCTTGGTTTCGAAGAAATTCCTATCTATGCTTTCAGCAATAATGCGTGTGCTATGCCTAATTGTCTTGTTAGTAGCCGTCAGCGGCCTCTTTGCATTGCCTTCACCTCACGTGGACTATAGAAGTTCCTTAAGGTAAGATAATCCAGTCCAGTTCTCCGCATCATTTCATGTGTTAGTAAAGTTGCTCCTTAAAAATTATTTCAGGTCACCGAGAGTGAAACGCCAATTCGGAATGGGCGGATGGGGATGGGGTGGTCCTTGGGGTGGAATGGGTGGAATGGGTGGATGGGGTGGCCCATGGGGTGGTGGCATGGGCGGATGGGGATGGTAAACACGAGCAGCCGAGCATGGACGAGTCAACAACGAGCAATACTGAACGAGTTCAACACTTTCACGACTGATCACCTATATTATTCAACCTTCTACTCGACTTGCTATCCAATTCTGTACACCTGTATTCAATTTGAAAGAATGTGATAATGAATGTATGAATAAAGAAATGAATGCGCATGTGATGCACAAGGAAGATTTCAAACAATGGACAAACACAAATAACACACACAACAAAAAATTAACAATGGACAAGAGAAGTCATTAAAGGTGTGCTAAGTGAGCAGGTGGGCCAACTGTTCAGAAGAGTTTTTGTAGGGATATTCATAAGTTGAGAGCTAGCAAAGTAGGCGGGTGCTCTTTCAGTTTTTGTCCACCGAGATGATCTTCTTTCCTTTTTTGAGAGTTACTCTATGTGTGCACCATGATCAGTATAGAGTGGCGTCGAAGTTTTTCTTCCTGAACATTTCATATCGATGCCTTATCTCGTTGGAATGCCGAAATTACCCGTTTTCAATCAAACACCCAATTCAAGTGTTACTTGGTAATCCGGCCCTGCACACATTCTCTACAAATTAAGAGTGAAAGTCTCTAGTTGATCCTCAAAAAATTTCCACCACAATAGCTGTTTGTGAGGCAAAATTTCCTGCACACAAACGATGCACTGTAGTCAACGTCAAGCATGCCGCTAGAGAAATTCGCTCGCCACAATAAATCTCCCCAAAACTGGTGCTCAAACCGAGTCCCTTTTTTACATCCCATTTATTTTGATTTACAGATGAGAAGATGGAAGGTACTTCTTCTATGAATAATGTGCTATTGACCATCGCAGTCAAAGGGATGAACCTTTTCCGATTGTGAGAGCTATCAGTTTTTCGAGGAAATCTCTAAACTTTCTAAATAGACCTTTCGAGACAAAAACGTGACACCTAACTTCCAACGAGTAAAATGCTCACTCACAACTTGGCCATATCTGGAAACCTTGAAATCGAGGGGTTCAATGAGAAAACTGAGATTCAATGACGAAACCTATTGCTCATCCAAAGCGCATACAGTCTTCTAATAATGAAAGTGGCTGAAAGATTGAGAAAGCAAAAGATAGGTCGGGATTTTGACAACTGAACAGCTATATTGCAAAATCCATGGCTGCCAAAATTCTTCGCCAAGTAATTTTTGAAGGAAGCGTCATGCTCCTCTAAACGCCTATCTCCTCACCACCGTTTGTTGCATTGTTGCTGGTAACAGTCAGAGTAGGAGGCAAAGCGCCATGAATCAAAACATGCACTGCATTCCGTGCTATAATATTACGTACAGTAGAAGAGCGTAAGGTTCCTCCTTATAAGTACATGATCTCGCCAAAAAATCTCGTCGAGAGAGCGCCGCGCATATTGGAACGTTAACATCCATTCGCTCTAGACTGTCTCAAAATTACATATTATACTTTTTCCCCATGAAGGCAAAGTATTTTGGGAAAAATCATGTTCGACAGTGAGACGCCTGAACGTGTTTTAGGTCAGCACAATAAAAAGCAGGTAATCAATCTCATTCAACCCTTTCGGGTTGGAAGAAAATTGTTGTTCCCCACATCCGCTACTGTTTTCTTTAAATGCCCAGTTCCTGTTGCGCAGAATCCAGTTACCTTTCTGCCATTTTTTCCGAGCGTGCATCTGTGACGTCAATAATGATTAATATTGATACAACCAATCAAATAATCCGAAGTGGTTAAGGAAGTACCGGAGCAGACGACATGTAAAATGCTGATGAAAGTTCTCCAGATATCTTTCTTCTAGTCAAGCAGTTTCTCGTTGACCAACTTGCTCTTGAAGCATTGTGAATGTCTCATGAACTCAAGTTCTTGCCGTCGTCACCGTACGAGTTAGGGCTGACTCATTTTACTGCTTCTGGCGGCGGAGCTGGTGTTCAGTGGTGTTAATACACGGTCTCTTCTGGTTCCGCTTGGAGGCACAGTTCATGATAATTCTCAGGTACAATTTTCAGGGTAAAACTGTGGCAAAGAAAGCGGAAAATTCGCAGAAGATCTGAAATAACAGAACACTTGGAAGTACTTTAAATAGAAGGTTCTACGAAATCACCGTTACGGTAATAACATAAAAGGGGTATTTTGACAAGATTTCAGGTATTGCAATTGTCAAAGTGCTGGCTACGAAAAGTCAAAGTTGCTTTAAGTTGCTTATACTGTACTAATGATGTACGACTAGCCATTTGAATTTTTGATATGTGAATGTGTTCCACTGTGAATGGTGTAGGCTCCAGGGGGGAAGTTCGTCCACTTTGAGCTATCAATGTCGATGATCCTTGAGCTCTTATTGCTCCCTGTCTATGTAGTTTTTCGACCCGACAGAGACAAACCGAGACCTTCCATCATGGAGCTCTTATCTGCAGAATAAGAACAATTATCTGGAAGTAATTCGTGGTGAATTGAACTGCACTTTTGTTATAAGTCACTGCTAATTCAATCACGATTGAATTACATCAAAATCCTCAAGAAGAAAATGCACAACAAAAGTTGGGAGGGAGCATGGTTGAGAAAAAGTCAATGTTGATCGAAGCCAAAAACTATGTTTCCAACTCATTGCCGACCCTAGTATGTAAGTACCAGTTCAACGGTTCTTCATACTTTGACCTTGAAAAGCAGGCTAAGTATACAAGGTAAAAAGGACACGTCCAGCGCGTTGGCAGTTCTTGTTTGCGAATCACTTTTCTTATTTTTAGAGAAAGATGTAACAACTCAGAGTAAGGGGCCCATTTTCGCCATATGAGGATGATAGTCTGCGCTGTGTATGTACTACAATTACTTATCCACGTGGTTCTGCACGCTTCGAGGCAGCAACTGACTGCGCTTTCAATCTGATTTCGGTAACGATAAGGTTCGTCCGTATTCCTAACCTCTTGTGTATGCCATGCGTACCTAACACCTGAAAGAATAATATAATTTGCTTGTATTTACACGTAGAAGAAATCCAAGCAATAACGATGCAAATCACATGTACGTCCTTCTCACTTTAATCATTAACATAAATGGAATTGTTGTTCGACATCACCCTGAATGGAGATGTTTCCACTCGTTCTCCAACACCTCGCTGGGAAAGAATGGCTTGTGCTGCAGTTGTTTTGACCGATATAGCATTCGGAAGAATTAATTGATATTAGTGCAAAAATGCGTGTCATTGAGTTGTATGTAGTTGAGATCCCAATTTGCAACATATGTACTAGTGTACTATTACTACTGTTGCACTATGACCTAATTTTATAGTGAAATTGTTGTGGATGTCTTCCAGTGATAAAGACGACGGTAAGGGGAATCCACCTTCCCGAAGGTTTTTCTTTCTGATGCTTTGCGGGGTAACACATGATTCATCCGTCCCGAAAAATTCATACTAAAATTACCTCTCATTCCGCTAAACTATGCTGCTGACTGCTGAAACAAAGAAATTTGCTGAGTTCCCTAAAAAGTTGCGCTGGCAGTGGCAGCAGGTAATGTGGCATATCATCCAGGTTTTTAGATCGAAGCCTTTCTGAGCGAACGATAATTCTAGGAAGACCTCTGCCGATTCCGTGATTGAACTTCTATTCAGAGATCACTGTGCTCCGTGAGTCTATCGAAAAGGTGACTTACCAAGAAGAATCAGTTATCGTGAAGGGTTTAGATAAAGAGAGTGGGCGTTTAGCAAAGCTCATAGACATAAACATCAATGTAAGGTATTAAGGTGTCCAGAGAGTTTTGAGAAAATTTCGCCTTTCAACTTTGAAAGCATGTTGCTCGCGAATGCGCTGTAGAAGGACTAGAGATCCGATAGCAGGGGAAAGAAGATTCTGTTAGGTTGGAAGGAAAGTCCTGCGACACAATGAAGGTCTTCTTCAACTCATTTCTGAAATTTTCCAGGCCAATCGATTTTCGGAAATATTTTTACCAAAGAGGTCAACAACCTTCTATTATCCTTTGAGTAAATCACTGATGCCTTTCATCCAGGAGTGAGGAAGCTGTGGCTCAAAGAAATCTCCTATTCTTAGAAATTATCTCCTACAGTCGGTGAGCAGTGCCAGCAATTGGCTGCCGTTTTCAGATCACATTAAGTTACGAATTTTTTTTTCAACAGCGGGATGCTCAAGAAGGCGGAGCGCATGGTAGGTAAAAGGGGCAACACTTGGGGAGCACGACTGATGAACAACCTGAAACCAATTGGAATCGTAGAACTTTTGACGCGTGTTTAGAGCGAAATTTCGACGTGCGTTGTCCCTCTGTAGGGAGCTGATTTACGGTTTGATCGTCCTTCTCTAACCCCGCTGGCCAAATTTCGGGGTTCATAGGGGTA